ACGTATGGCGCGATATGAAGAAAGCATGGGATTCCATCACTATTATTGGTTCACGTTATGGTGAGAAAAGAGGGTACACACCTCTCTATCACTGGGCTAAATTTGAAGCAGGCGAGGAGCACGATAAAGAGACAACCCAAGAAGAAATGACATCACTCTTACCTGAGAAATCATCGCCATCGACAGAAAAAGTGAAATACACTCCCGAACAAATTGAATTATTAGCAACCGAGTGAAAGAACTATGGCACTGACATGGTCATATATGTAAAAAGTATGTTAATTATACAAGGTCAGATTATATACTGGGTCTATTTACTAATCAATGTTGGAATTCTAAGGTCCAAGGAACTTACAAATCTCCGATGATTTATCAAGAAGCGGTCGCCTATTCAATGAGATATTTTCTAAACATTGAAAATTCTGATTAGATTTGTGCACAAATTGATGTACATTAATTAATACAAATCAATTTGTATTAATTAATGTACAACTGAAATGAATTATAATTATACGCACCGATATATGATGAGGACGCTCTTAGTAACATATAAATGAATTTACAAATATGAAAACATAGCATAAACGACAAGCAATCGTCAAGTACACACTATAATACAAGGTAAAATATGTGCAAACATCTATGCCGACCTCAAGTCATGCAGTCCAGTAAGGAAGTCCGAAATGAGCGAGATTGTAAGCATCGGCATTATAATATCATAACAACCAAATCATTTATGCTGTTTACAATCCTTGTCTGAGTGATATCGCAGAAACCAAATTATTATTTTTGTACATGCACACTAATTTCTATACTAACTGTTTCATATTTTCTTCTTTATTGCAAATAAGGAATATTAAAGTACCAACATGACTTTTGTAAATTCACAATAATTATCTGCTCGTTGTGATATAGACATTTGAACTAATAAATGAAATATCATTGTTTTGAGATATATACATATCAGTGGCGGATCTAGGGGGTTCTTGGGGTCCGGAGCCCCCCGTTGAAAAATGTATTCAATTTGTTTTTGTATATTATAAAAAAAATCATTAACTTAGTCTGGCGATTTTAAAGTTTGGACCCCCCCATAAAAAAATCCTGTATTCACCCCTGCATATTAAAAGAATATTTCCTGTAAACGGTTCGTATTTGCTGTCATCTTATATCGTCGATTTAACTATTGTTCAGTGTGAATTACACTAATTACTACAAAGAAAATATATAAACTTAGTTTTCTAAACGTAAATAAAGTGGAAATATATCTCTATATGGTATTATATTTAATATCTTAATCTGAATATTTGTGGCGTTCGTTTCAACCCTTCGTGTTTACCCATTTTTCTGCAATTTCACAAATACACTATAATGTGCATCAAGTAAGCGTCAATGATCAAATTATTATTTAGGCAAAGTGTTGTTGTTCATAGAGGGCGCTCTATTAGATGCGTATATACGTACGACATTTAATGACACTGTTGTAGCTACAGGGAATGTGTGCACATCACATTCCACCACTGTGACAGTACATTTATGTTCTATTGTGAATTATACCTTTTGCCCTTCTAATGAATGTTCACATTGAAAACTACTTGACACGTTTTTGTCAGGTTACAAAATATCGTAGTGACTACCTTGCAAAAGCGAACACTGTCCCTGTGAATAAATTATTTCCATGCTCCAATTTTCAATCCTTCTTCAATGCCAAATTGACTGACTGATAAACTAGCACTTTTTCGGTTTTTGAGTAGGCGCTGAGCGCTCATTATCATCATTCTCTGTTTTGATTATTTTTTGTTATAATTTGTCTGTTAAATATCTATATTGCACACACAGTCGTAGACAATCTTCCACCAAGATTAAGTTACATACAAATTTTGGACATTTCTTGAATATATTGACCAAAAACTTCATTTCTGTATCCAAACTCGACCCCATTGGATATTTGTGTTAGGAGTATGTTTGACAGTTCTCCGCAAATTCTGTTCTGTTTTTAAATGATATAAGATCCGACAATCAGACATTTTCGCCAGCCAAGGTTCATTTATTCGGCCCTGGCCTCCCCATTATACCGGGTTCGTAATGACGGCCATGGAAGACCGACTTTAGCAAATCCGTTGAAATCGAACGATGATGGCAGATAATATGGCATAATTCGAATGAGCGAACCGAGTTACGTCAGCTGTCACATTTTTTGTTTCATTGTCATTCATAACTATTAATTTTTTCTTCGTTCTTTTGAAATATCCACCCATGATAAGTTTGTAGTGCAATAGATCACGTAATTAACAAGTGCTTTAATGAAAAAGTGGTTCGTATTATACCCACCTTTTTGGTTGTTGGAACTGAGCTGTATTTTTTATATCTTGCCCACTAATTAGAAAACAGGAGTTTTAATTTATTCTATATTTTGCATGTTTCACGATTTTTGGACTGCAATATTTTTTTCAGGCTTGAAACATACGTATTATAAACTAACGTCATGGTAATTGAAACAAATAATATTTACTAAAGATGATTCACATGATGACTATGAACAGACAGAAAGTATCGTTCTACCCCAAATGTTTGGGACAAACTGTTACACAACTTTCAATACCAGGGTGTTATGAATGGGCGCCATCAAGCGATCATATTACATATATGAGAACTACTTAGTTTTTCTGTATATATTATCGCATCTCTTTTTAAGGATCATGGAGGCCTTTATCATGAATTTTTCCTCACACAAAATTATTTTTTTTCCTTTAATTTCCAAACAAAAGTTTTGGATGTTTCCGGCAATTCCACTCTACCTTTCCTTTTCGTCATATACGCTGGCCGTTCTCATGTGCTTTGCGGGAAGGCTATGTGACAATTTTGCCTATGAGAGCCATCTGTGTCGAAATTAAAGTCGGCTTTCGTTTGTGCAGTTCAGGGGTCACAATCTTGCCCGGCAATCAGTCAGCGGGATTACCTTGACAACGGGCGTAATACTAGGCAGTATTACGAAATATTGCGAGGCAAAACCAAAATACCGACAGTTCAGCTTTTCTTGATGTTATGGTGTACGCAGTGTGCATTTTATTGAGACTGTAACCAGATCTATTTGGTGTAATGGCTGTCCCGTGATCAATTGTAAGTTAAACTCACTGTCCTACATAATGTTTTAATCAACTATATGTCATTTTCAGAAATATATACACTCACTGCCACCCTCCAACGCCGCAGCAACGTTGACAGTCCGTATATTTGTGAAAATTAACATATAGTCGGTAAAAACCGAATATACGCGTGGTGGTAGTTAAACGTGTTTGATGACGCATTAATAATGACACTAGATCTAGTTACACAAGGCCGTGTCAACCACCGACGTTTTGTCGTGGAGTCCGATATTGTTCTTTCTCCGTCTATTATTATTTCTACGCCTAACCGATAGTCGTTAAGTCTCCGGCCAGTGCCCCACCCCACCACATTGAAAAGGTCTGTACGTATGCGCCACAATTTCGATCCCGTTTTGGGGATTTTCGGCTATTTTTAACAAAATGTTTTTTTGAGCAGAAAAAGAAAGTGGTTGGTTCAGTGTTCAGCCAAAAAAAATTAAACGTCGATTTTGTTGGACCCAGTTTTCAACTAGCCATGTATGTAGAACCCTACTCCAAATATAGGTGACCCCCCCCCCCGGCCTAAGTGGGGTAGTACCCTTTTGTGGCACTTGGGATTTACTTTAGTTACATATTTGTTATCGACAGTATTAGGATAATACAACGAAATCAAGATAGAGTTATACAACTATAAGTGGCACTATCCTGACAATAGAAATAAGTTGCCTGTATCGCCAGCCTAAACGAAAATGAATTTGAACAATGTTTTAGATACATGTATACCGCTTCACACAATCCTTTTTGTATTTGATTTGTGCGCATTTTAATTGTATTCACCGTAAGTATTTAACGATAACATCAATGACAGAATTATGAATGCAAAAATGGGGCCCATACCTACATTAGATTCGGGTAGACCGTACATCAGAGATTCTGTGACACAAATAGCATACATTATTTGACGGGAAACTCGAATCAAATTTACATTTGAGGTGACAATGGATACTTGCTCTTAATCGGCACCAAAACATCTGTCGCAAACGCAATAGTTCAGCAATTTGTCGAGTCAATTTAAACGCGGTTTTAAAATCTACAAACTAATCAACATTTCTGCGGTCGATATCTATGCCAACATTTTATTATGCTATTCAAATAAATTCTAATAGTGAAATATTTCAAAATAATGTTGAATACAGTCTAAAATAACAGAGAACATTTTCTCACCAACTCAACGAAGGGACCTGACCTAAACAAATGAATTCATATGGCCTGGATTCCGCTCATCCCATTAAAAAGATTTGAAAAAAACAACAAAAAAAACATGGCATTTTACCGTAAGTATTTTTGACGCAAGCCAGGATTGAAATAGTAGTCCTGTTAAATATACCCATATTCTTTGTCCCATCATGATGAAGAACAATAACAATTCAGTAAAAATGTCCTCACTATTTATTTTTTTCAGATTTATTTTGTCTTCTCATTGGTCATTCGGACAATCACAGAGTGGTGTTTACATTATTAGTTAGTACTATTTACAGAGAACAGGATTACCATGACCACATATATTCATCACCTTATACTTATAATTTCCTACCATACAGTTGGTAAGTTGATGAACGTTTTTGGTATCAGCACCTTTTCACCATCTGCTTGCTAGATACTTAAACTGCAAGGACAATACACAGAAAATTAAACTTATAATTTAATTAATAATTGTTCCCGCTTTTTCTTTATTACTTCTCTTCCATGTTCGTGTTTTTTTTTATTTTATGATATTGATTTTTTTAATTTTTGCGTTAATATTTATATAACATTGAATCTTAAATCTTTATATTCACATTGTTTGTATAAAAAACATTATTTGTTTCAATTGACAATCCATCTATATAAAATAGACAAGATTATAAAAGTTGTAATATGGTTTACCTTGCAGTCACCTCACAACGATGCGAATCGAACTGGTTAACTTATGCACAAAGGTGTTTTCTCTTAGAAGAAGCAGATCAACCAGTCACGTGGTATGAAGCCACGCAAGCCTGTGAGAATAAAAATGCGTACTTGGTTGTGATAGAAAGTCAAGAAATCAATGTAAGCTTACACATGTTCATCTCTTTTATAATAAGCTTCACTTGTACAGAAATATGTTCATGTATTTTGTTGACATTTTATTATGAGTTAGATTCAACATTCAGTTTTTTTACGATCAATGTTTTTTTAAACGAAACTGAAATTTCATCATTTCTCAGGCACAACGCTGAAAGGCCCGTTCTAAATACAACAGTTTGTATTACGTTTACTTGAATTCAAAAGCATAACTATATTTTAAGGTGATGGACGCCGCGATACGCGTGTTAGAATATCACGTGAATAAACAATGTATTTACACGTATTATATATGTCGTATGAGACACATATCGACCACGACGCTGCACATACCCGACAACAATCACCTATTGCATTTACATGATTAATTATATCCAATAGCCTAGAGATGCCCAAACATTGACAGGATGCATTGATGTCGCACATCATAGTGCTATAGTGTAATCAGCGTCAGCTGTCATGTCAAAGCGCCCCATACAGACAGCTTAAAGTGCACGTATTAGTACTACCAGAGCGAACAACGCCCCCATGTTGTGCTAAATCGATCACATAAAGCCCGTTTCATTTTTTTCTTTACTATAATTTTTAAGTCATTCCTGCGTTTGTATGTAAATTCATATTGGCACGAATTAATCCAGTATAACAATCTTCAGTATAAACGCAGTACATAGAACTTGCCTACTGGGGACGTGCCCACGAAATGGGTCTCGTTTTGGGGATTTTAGGTATAAGTATCGGTCTTAATTCTGGTCAAGATAGTATAAATATCGGTAATATTTTTCCGAATTGGTATAAATAACCTGAGCATTGTGTTATTAATATGCTCTTATGTAAGTGACAGAGTTGTTTTTTTATGTTCAAAATACATACTTTAATAAATCAATATACAATGCAACTGTTGGCTTACATGCTCTTCTAATAGAGCAAATACGGTAACTGTTTTATTTGCAATAACAGTGATGACAGAAATGATGCTTTGGTATAAATATGGGTATAGATTTTGCCACTATCCAGGTATAAAAATGGTCTTACTTTTGAGCACTCAGGGGCACCTCCCTACTCAGCTATGTATCAACTGCCCCCCGGAAACACGCATCCAACTTCATTTTAATTTTATTTCCCAGAGCTTCCTCCAGGAGTTGGCTACAATGAATTACTGGATTGGTCTCCATGACATTGGAAATGAGGGTACTTTCACATGGATTGATGGCGCAATATTAGACAACAAGGCATATACGTAAGTTATCCATTAGTATTACTTTATAGAGGGGGATAGCTGGTACAGTTTTACAGGAAATAAAAAGGGCTTTTTACAATTTACAAAGAAAAAAAGACGTTTTTACAGTTCACAGTGAAAATTGAATGTTTACAGTTTACAGAGAAAATAAAGGTTATTTTACATTTTACGTAAAATTAAAAAAAAGAAAACCAAGAAAATTCTTGTACGTACCGAAAAAATTACACATTTTTACGACGTACGAACAAAATATTTGATTGATTACGTTGTACGTCTAGCCTGTGATTACAGAATTACGGAATTTATTTTTTCAATTTACGTTGTACGAACAAAAAAATATTGCAATTACGTTGAACGAAAATAACCCTTGCCCCCCTCTTTATAGTAAACAAGCTTCTGGGGGTATGGAATTTGTATACTGCACCAGACTATGGGGAACATGTTGTTGTCTGATGAGGTACAAAATACGCAGAGACAATCTACATTCTTGTTGCACATTTATAACGCATATTTACTTAAATATTAATTTAGTCCAACAACATACATTAACATGTATTTATAGAGATTAACAATAATATTTATTTTCTTGTATGTCAGAAACTGGGACTCAGAACAACCTAACAATTTGGACAGCGGTGTCGGCGAAGACTGCACTGAGATGCAAATAAATGGTAGATGGAATGATAAATCATGTGACGACACATCGACATTGGATGGTTACATATGTCAAAAAGCAATGGGTAATTTGTTCATTTCCCCAGAGGAAATGGCATCAATTACTAGATTAAAATCTGTATACAGTGTTCTCCTATATTGTACTCACTAATGATGTTTGTTTAAATACTGCTTATATAAATTCAAAGAAATACAATTTGTACAACTCAGTTTAGTGTGTAATGTCAGTGCTACCCATACTGACGTGATGTAAACTGTGGTTAGTAGCTAGAAATTCAATGTTTGATTTTGTTTTATACATAGATGTTCCAATAAGATGTGACGAAGACAATGGGTGGATGTCCGTTAATGATAGGTGTTACAAGTATAAAGACACCGTTAAAACGTGGGAGGACGCAAAGCAATGCTGTGAGAAAATGGGTGCGGACCTCGTCAGAGTACAGAACCAGATTGTACAAGACTACGTTACTCAATTAACAACAATAACTTCACTGTGGATTGGACTCTCAGATAATGTAAGACAATTACGTTACTTTATTCTCCAATCATGACATGATCATGCTGCATGTTAAACATCACTATTTGATGCATTTTTGAACAGAAGACGGCGAAAACTAAAAATCAAAAATTAAGGAGTTTGTAGAAAACGATTATAGCCTTAACATTTAAAAGTACTTTGGAGATGGTCTCAGAGGTCATGCACAATTAACATACATTAGCATATAAGTTGTAAGCATAGTTCCAGAAGCTGTTTATTTTCACAAATGTGCGTTACTTTTTACACGTTGAGAAGAGGTTCACAATTGTAAACTATAGGTGCGTCATTTTCGAGGCATCAACTCGATGTTAATTGGAAGCATATATACAAGGCAGAATTCGATACACCAACAAAAACATCTCAACGAACATGCTGATCTCTGATTGGTATGTCGGTTAGGTGTTTGGGGTGGGTTTGCGGTGCATTGACTGTCGATTCAACTTGGCTTGTATTGTGACATATGCATGAAGCATCTATGTAACCCTGTCTGTCACATGGAAACATTATAATTCAGTGTCAGGTATATAACTATGACTAAATTTGCATATAAATTAGGTGATATAAATGGCGAATTGCAGAATACAACATAGTATAGTATTTCATTGAGATTCAATAAAACATATACAATTGCATTTTCTTGTAGTGGCTCAAGAACAAGTGATGGTGAATTTGGGTAACAACCTTGAATCAACAACGAACTGTAATTTTGTATTCAATATTGGGTCTGCTTTATAAAAGAATAAAGTATTTATAGTAACAAATATTTTTTTGGAATATACTCATAACATTTGTACCAAATGCCATTTATATATATTGTAAATTATATAATAACACGGTTGTTTGTGGTCAATGACCTTTACCGAACGAAGTTAAAAAAAATGTAAAAACACAAAACGTGTAAAATCACCAATTTAATTGTAAATTTCAATTCCTTGCAGATTAGTGACCAAAAAGGAGAGTATTCATGGGCCAATGGATCACCAATATCTTATACAAACTGGGCACTAGATGAACCACGCAATAAGTAACTATTTTATTTATTTAGTTTTATTATTTTCCTATTGTTTACTTCACACGATTTTCTTTTTCCTGTCTATCCTATATTTCACATTCCCAATAATTGCTCTAAATAAACCATTTGTAACTCAAAACGATATATTATCACTTTTTGCTTATCCAACTTTACACAAATTAAACTATGACTACACGTTCCCTCGGAAGTTGCATTTATTCGTGTTAATCAACAAACATTTGGTATATTTTTTTGTGATAAACAACTTTCAAGTACATCTGTAGTGGTGTGCTTTGTAAGTCCTCAATATGACAAATATAGAACATTTCTTGTTCCATAATACTGTCAATGCATACTATAGAATGAATACATTTATAGTGATGATAATGAAATCCAGATATTTGCACTGCGCTCTCCAAGTTCTGTCAAATAGACAGTGAAGTAAACCATTATCTTGTTTTCATTGTGTAGTGTCAATAATTTTTGACGCCCAATAATGCCAAATACATCGCTTTTTTTTGCTAAAATGTTGGCTGGTATTTGTCTTGCCAAATTATGTCTTAGATATATTACTTTACTATTATTTGAGACCTTTTTAACAATTCATGTTATATGCGTTGTTTCAGTGCTTTTATTCTTATTTATTTATTACCAGGCATTAGATGCATTGTTAGGTTATATCTTATATAATCTAGATTTTCAATGGGAACAATTGTAATAGTCACGGTATGTTCTTATAATCCTCGGTTCAAATATTACACTTGTATAAGCATATTTTATTTAATCTAGTTCCGCAGACAACTGTGTAACCGCCAAATTATCTAAGTGTGGTCAGTGGATCACGGCGTCGTGTGCGACAAAACTACCATTTTTGTGTGAAAAACCTGAAGGTAAGTTCATATGACAATTGTCAACATATTCTGAAATGTCAGAACATTAGCTTATAGTTGATTCAGATACAGAGATTGAACAATATTTCGTTATTTTGATGATTCAGATAATGATTATGACTATAATATCAATCATTAATTGTACTATAGCATAATCAATGACCATCACTCATTAAACACTATGAGAGTAATGGCCACTATAATTACGTTTGATGACGGACTGGTTATTTGTCTTCATAAATAGAATATGTCAGTACCCAAATAAAGAGGTTGTTTTACTTTAATCAAATTTTGAGAAAGTAATTCTACTTGTCAATGTTTGGTCTATGTAAACAGGTTCATGTGCACCTGGATGGAAGATATACAAGGGTCACTGTTATCAATACCAAACACAAGTTTCCTCTTCCTGGATCAATGCCAAATATACTTGTGATACGCAAGGAGCGTATCTGGTCACCATAGACACGTAAGTCATATGTGGTTTACTTAGAAACCATGCCTTCACGATTTCTTCATTAATTTAGAAATAAATAAATAATTTCTAAACAGTATTATGTAGAATAAATGCATTAAGAGGTATAAGAAACTGAGACAAATCAACTATAAATTTCTGTTTTGCAAATTTTTGCAAATATACATGATTGGCTTCTGAAAATCACCCTGTTACACAATTTTGTTAACAATAATATGTCTATAACACAGTTAATGAAATTAAAGATATTTTTCCGATCATTGTTTTCCAACCTATATTTTATTGTTAGACCCAATATGCCAGCACTGTACATGATAGTTCATTTGTTCAAGTTAATACAATCATGAGCTGGAGGGATTACAAGATGGTATAGCAAACATTCTGATTTCGTTTGTTGTTTTTCTGTGTTCCTATCTTCCTTCTATGTACACATTATCTGAGAATTAAATAAAATCATAATATGATAATAATTTCTTTATATTATTTCACACTGAAGAAAAGCTGAGCAAAACTATCTCATAAGTGAGTACTCAGCAGAACGTAACAACATTTGGATTGGCATATCTGGTAAGTCTGATAAACCCAGATATTATTAAATCTTTATTACAGGATATAAAATTGAAAAGTTCCTACATCTCATATGAAAAAAAACAAAAACAACAACAATATATATAAATAAACAAAGAGAAAAAACAAATATATAAAAAAAGACTTGACTTATAAATAAATTCATTGTTCTAACAATTAATAATACAATTTCCTCGAATAGACACCAGAAGTGATGGAGAGTTTGCTTGGAGTAGTGGCTGTCCTGTATCGTATACTAACTGGAATGAGGCGCACCCACTTAATATGTTTGGACAAGAAGATTGTGGTACAATTTTTACTGGTGAGGCATACATAGTTAATCATGATTGCGATATCATACTAACAGACGTAACCATATAAGTTGTTCAGCGCGTGAAACTGATCCACCCGTTGGCAGCGTGTGTAGAATATTATTTTGAAAACTAACTGTAATAATATTGTCTGCAAAACCTTTGCAACATTGTTCTGTAATCACAGTCGTTAAATATACATCAGTCGATTCAAATATCTCAGTTTGTTCAAAAATAATTAATCACATTTATACTCAGGGGCATCAAAAAGGATACATATCGGCAGATTAAAGGTTGGGACAAGCTTTGACCTATTGACATCGTTCCCTTAAATTTTAAAGGTGGGTATTCTGGTGAACGTAAATGGCGAGAAGACGGACGCTGTGGACATGAATACCCGTACAACGGAGAACCTGCTGAGTGTGATCCAAATCATGGCAAACCATGTTGTTCTTCAAATGGATTGTGTGGAAATACCGAAGATCATTGCATGTGTGCCACATGTACTGACTACACTCAAATATATGGTTAGTGATGATGTGTTTTGATTTCAATTCTTCAGATTTCATCTTAATAATCAGAGGGTCTATATAATCTCGCATTTATATTGTGTAAACATCATGTACAACATGCCCAGCCGTTATTCAAATTAACAATCCAAGAACACAAAATACATGATTGACAAACAATATGTGAGTGATAGTTCGTCAAAAGTAGAAATAAAGTAGAAATCCAATAAATCCAATCAAAAGCAAAAATGCAAAACATAACAAAATCATCTCATTATTAAGTGTATAACAATTGATTTTAAAATGGTCACTAAAGCAATGTTTTCATTCTACTAGGGATTGGCCAGTGGAGTGCATCAGATTGCTATCTTCAGAGAGGCTTTATTTGTGAAATACAAGCTGGTAAAACACATGTGTGGTTTCATAGATACTTAAGTTTGTTTGTCTGTGCGTGGTTGATAATGTAATGAAATGTGTACCAGATCATTTTTAATCAGTTATTCAGACATCTTTCTACTGTGTCTATATTCGTCTTATAAACAATAGTTAAACTTCTGACTAAATGCTACAGCTACAATTAGCAAACACTCGGTGGGAATAATTGTGTGTGATATTGCATAGCTATCTAGTGAATCAATCAAATCAATTCAAATCCAATTGTCCAACCTTTGTTCATTCACAGATATTGATCCAACATCGCCAGTTCAGTCGGTTGTAGATGTGCACTGTGATGTGGCATGGGACCTTCACGGTGACTACTGTTATTTATTTGAAACTAATAAACTTGCCTTTCACGAGGCAGAAGCTGCTTGTGAACAAATGGATGCTAAATTGACAAGCATATTGAACTTATCAGAGCAGAAATTTATCAGTGGTGGGTAGTATTTTACTTACTGAATTATGGCACCTCTTTTGTTTTCCAAGATTAAAAACAATCCATTGTGTAATCTATTTTTCTGAGAGAGTTAATACAAATTGCATAATCTAATTTTCACATTTAGGTCGAATTGACAATCGTCGTACTCCAATGTGGTTTGGGTTGCATGACAGAAACCACGAAATGCAGTGGGAGTGGACAAGTGGAGACGAGGTAAGTCAATAACTCACTTCATTATTCAATAGATTTGACCTTGTCCAGTTTCCCACGCCAAAAATTGTAGTGTTACTGTTTGAAGCAGATTATTACTAACTAAATATATTTGACCTGTCCATATATTCGTATATAGTCAGGTGTTAGGTTAACTACAAATTTGAATCAAAGTTTGTACTTTTTATATGTATTTTATTTTCGTCACAATCATGCAAAAACAAGAAGTATTCATTCACTTACTGTGTTGTTTAATTCCATAGTATAGCTTCACAAACTGGGCTGATGGGGAACCCAATAACTATTTCCAAGTAGAAGACTGTGCTCATATAATTGTAGACGAATCAAGGAATGGTGAATGGAATGACATCACTTGTGATACTGATTTAGGATATATCTGTAAAAAGAGAAAATGTGAGTATATACAAGTAAATGGTGTGTTATCCGTCTATTTCACAGTTTGGAAATTAGCTAAAATGTTGTTACGTCAAGGTAATCGTGACCCGTCCAGAGTGACATTCCAGCATTTGGACAATCCGGACATCTGTCCACGTCTGTGTGTGTGTGTGGGGGGGGGGGAGTTGTCATGAAACAACAGAAAGAAGTAATAAGAGTTTGTTGGGGTCCAATATTTTAAATCAATATCTCTTGGGTGTAAGGTAAATATGACTTCACTATGTAAATCGACAGATTATCACCTGATCAATTTTACTACGTTAAGCCATACTTACCTTACACCCAAGATATATTGATTTAAAATATTGGACAGTGTACAAAAACTTACCAAGGATGCGTGTAATGTGGTCGGAACCCAAGAACTACAACATTAGTTGATCATTTAATCCAAGTCGAAAGGGGCACACAATATAAAAACCCGCACACAACTATTAAAAGAAGTAGGATAGACTTTGGGTTCCAAATTATTATTTTTGTTATCTAAAAAGATAAAACACATGTTGCCAACAGTTTACTGAAGGAAATGTTTCAAGCGGCGAAATCCTTGTATTCATTTGAAATGTTACTACTGGGGGGTACTATGCAAATAGCAAATAACACAAGGGGACCTAAATACAAGTTGAAAAGTGAGCACATAAAAAGTTTTTAGCTCAGGATCCGATACTAGTTTTTTCTGCTTTCCTGTGCTATGATGTACTTGTGCACACCACCATTTCAGCATGTAAACTGTAAAATAGGGTAATAGTATGTTTCACTCTTTGGCTAATGATTCTATGGCATGTGCCTGTGTTCTGTTTCCTGCTCGTATAATATTCAAACACCTGTCTGGCATTGCCAGATGACAGCTTTTAATTCGATCCCCTTCTCGCTGCACCCTGTCCATGACGTAAGCAACTATTGTTGTGTTGTTGCAGAGAACTATAACTACTTTTCTGTTGAGAACAAACATCCCCAATATGTTTATGGGTCGCATCACTCCCTGTGTGTTCCATCTCACTAAATTTCACATCCATGAGTTGATGGAGTGATCTGCAATCCCTGCCAAATATTTTGTCCACCCTCCCGTACCGAGCGGGTAGCTTGTCTCCCTATAAAAATTGCCTATTTTGCTAATAATTCCACTTCCCGCACTATCACATTTGCATTTAGTTAATCAGCGGGTAGACACATTGATAATTAATTTCTCATTAATAAAGGTTGGTTGTCAAACATAATCATGGGACCATCTCTATTTCGGATGTGTTATAGCCCATTAATGGTCTTCCTTGCCACCAAATGTTCGCCTAATGAAACTCAAAATCATCGTCATGTAATAGTCAACAATTTATTACCAGTAAAATGGGAGGGAGACTGTGCATTGTAATTGCTTGTTTTATTATATTTTTATGATTTGTTACAGATGAGGGCGTTTTCACAGCTCCTCCACCACAAGTGCGTAAGTGAATTATATATAACTCATTTATAAATACTGGTAACCCATTCATTACTTCTTGTAGCCATATATTAATACTGGTAACCAATATACCAGTACTTGTAACACATTTATTAGTACTGGTAACCCATTTATTAGTATTAGTAACTTATTTATTAGTACTAACCTAATTAAAAGTACTGGTAACCCATTTATTGAAACAGGTAACCCATTTATTAGTAATGGTAATCCCTTTATTAGTATTGACAACCTATACAATATATAGTAAGGTTATATTGATTCTGGTAACCAATGTATTTGTACCAGTAATCCATGTATTGGTGATGACAATGGTAATACACACTAGTATATTCCTACTAGTAATTAGTCCTAGTATACCATGAGTTACTCCTTGCCAAGGGTACATTGATTTGAATTCCGCAGATGCCAGTAGTAAAAAGTTCTTTTCATCCAAGGTGCAAACTCAGCATTTTGCAGCAGCGCACAACGAGGTTGGCTTATTAATTAAGCTCTGCCGAGCGTCCCACCTCGTTGTTGTCATATAAATATTAGTTTAGTTGTTATTTGTAATGATAACACATACACTGTTACTGGTAAATATTTTTTGGTACTGGTAACTAAGATATTAATACTAATAAATTGTAATCCATATTAGTATCGCTAACCGACACTTTAATTCTGTCAATCCTGTATTGTATTGTAATGATAACCCATACATCGATTATTTTACGTCTATGATAATGCTATTTCAAACCATCTTTTTGGCGACAGTGTGGCGAATTTGCATCAGATTTCCTGATATTGGTACTGGTACTGGTAACATATATCTAAATATCAGTATTAGTAAACCATATAGATTGCTGTATCACTGGGTTTCTTTTTTTTAATTAAGGTTACCAATCAACAGAATCAACAGAAACAATATCATCCAACAAAACGTGTCCACAATGTGGTACATGGACGGAAAATGAAGACCACTGCTATATCATTATCAAGATCGAAAAAAACTGGCCAGAAGCATGGTTTGAATGCACTAGATATGGCGGTTATTTATTGACTATTAGCAGTCAAGAGGAAAATGATTACATTCATAGTATACTAAAGGGTGATACAGGGAATTTGTGGATTGGTTTAAAAAAGAACATACTTGGTACGTTATAAGGGTGTATGATTGGACCATTCGAATTAAATCAACGTCTTCTCACTTAACCTCCCACACAGTATGATTGTACGCTTCCACGTAAATCAATGTCTTATCACCTAGCCTCCCACACAATATGATTGCATGTTTCTACATAAATCAATGCTTTATCACCTAGCCTTCCACACTGTATGATTGCACGATTCAACGTAAACCAATGTCTTATCACCTTGCCTCCAACATAATATGATTGCATGATTCAACGTAAACCAATGTCTTATCACCTAGCCTTCCACACAATATGATTGCACGATTCAACGTAAACCAATGTCTTATCACCATGCCTCCAACACAATATGATTGCACGATTCCACGTAAATCAATGTCTTATCACCTTGCCTCCAACATAATATGATTGCATGATTCAACGTAAACCAATGTCTTATCACCTAGCCTTCCACACTGTATGATTGCACGATTCAACGTAAACCAATGTCTTATCACCTTGCCTCCAACACAATATGATTGCATGATTCAACGTAAACCAATGTCTTATTACCTAGCCTTCCACACTGTATGATTGCACGATTCAACGTAAACCAATGTCTTATCACCTTACCTCCAACACAATATGATTGCATGATTCTACATAAATCAATGTCTTATCACCTAGCCTTCCTCACAATATGATTGCACGATTCTACGTAAATTAACGTCTTCTCACTAAGCCTCCCACAGAATATGATTGCACGATTCGACTTAAATCAATGTCTTCTCACTCAGCCTCCAACACAGTATAATTGCACGATTACAAGTAAATCAATGTCTTTTCGCTTAGCTTCCCACACAATATGATTGCGCGATTCGACTTAAATCAATGTCTTCTCACTTAACCTCCCACACAGTATGATTGTACGATTCCAAGTAAATTAATGTCTTATCACCTAGCCTCCCACACAGTATGATTGCACGATTCCAATTGAATCAATGTCTTCTCACCTAGCCTCCCACACAGTAT